AGAAGTACTTCTGGGCCTGTTGCTGAGCATGTTGGGGAGCCCCTCGCACTCCTGTGGGACACTCCATCCACCCCAGCATTGCAGTATTCATGACATCGCAGTATTTATGAGCCACCTGGTACCTTGAGGTATGTAGAAAAAAACACTTAAAGCTGTGTCTATATATCCAATCACCGATTAAAGCGTCTCCTGATTGGATTTGGAGATTCGGCCACCGAATTGGGCCAATCAAATTGAATCTGGGACCAAAGCTTTGCACAGCCCTACTGATTAATTGACTAAATTTTGCCAGTAAACTGGTTCACTTTCTGTTGGAGTTATTGGGTATGGTGTGTTTATGCTCATTCATGGCTGACAGGCTACAGGCCTGATGCAAGAACTTCAGCTAGTGGGTTCCACACCTCTACTGATACTTCCTTTTTCCATCTGAAACTGCTATGCTTCTGTGCCCCTTCCCCACACGCTTGCGAACTTGCCAGATCTGAACATCAGCAAGACTTCCTGCCCTGCAGTCATGCAGGTTTGGAGGCAGCCTGTTTTGAATAAGAGTAGGTTCAGCAAACATGGTTCCTTTTGCTGTAGTTCTTCAGTGGCCTTGCCCTTCCTCCACAAGTGAGTCAGAGTATGTGTTTGAATTGCCAGCTACAGGCTTATCTCCTAACCTTACTAGCCCTCGCACCTGATTTCTGAAATATTTCTGTCTGTTTTGCACCACCCTACAGAGACTTAGTATTGTTTTTAAGCTAAGTAGAATAACAAACTCTCAAGCTCACAGGAAAGATCTCCAGGCAAGATCTGGTGAGCATTGGTCACCTGACAGTTGCAGCTTCAATCTTGGGAGCATTACAGACGTTTTTGTGGGGGGGTTTTAAAGAAAGAGAGAGAAACAACAACTCTGCTTTATATGATTCTCTCTTCAAGTGAAAGCTGTGTCCTTGGCATAGATTCCAAGGACTACTAGTGTACAAACAGGTCCTGGATGGGACAACCTGTAGTGCACATCTCTTTTTAGAATCAGGCAAGTATAGAACCACCTTGATTTAAAATACATGACTTGTATTGCCAAGAGAGCTGACCAACATCAGAGCCTTGTTGTTGTGTTTGGTGTTCTTTCCTTAAAGAGCTTTCAGTTTAAATAGATAAGACATGCAGTAGAGGGGGAGAGAGAGAGAGCGAGATCACAGTAAAAGCAAAGTGACTGTATGGCAGTAAAATCTATGCTTGTTCTGATCTCTTGGGGAAAAGGAGAGCTGGAGGATTTTCTAAGTCAGTGGTTCTCTCAACCCCTTTAGACTTGAAGCACGCTTTAGAAAATGCCAGATCTTAGTTTTCACTCTTTGCCTACAGAAAAATAATAAAGAAGTTTGTTGGCTAGAACTCAAGGATTACACCTATGGGTTTCTGTTTTAAAAAAAAAAAAAAAAATCTCCAAGCTTAGCTTGTGAATCATGCTTATAAACCTAAGAAGTGCTAACTTTGTGCAGCACCCTTGAAAAGATCTCAAGGCACCTCAGGGTGCCATGGGACCTTGGGGGGAAAACTGCTGCTCGAAATGGCAAGAAAGCACGGGGGATGAAACGGGGGAAGAGTTCCCTGAAATACTGTGCATAAGAGCCTGGCTGTACTGTACTCATTTAAAGTAATTACAGCTGCACAAATGGGCTGGAGAGTTCATGTGGTATTAGGAAAAGAATAGATTGTTTTGATGTCTTAAAAAAATCTGCTCTTCAGGAAATCCTGCTGGTGCTGAATACAATCCTATTAACAAGGCTGCCAAAAGGGTCGATGTAAGCATTGTGATTGGAGCAGGGAGCTAGCCACTTAAACCCTAGAGTCATGAGATTGCCTTGGTCACAAACTGACACTGACATGCAAACTCGACCTCTGATTTCTGGGCTAGGAGGCACAATTGCTGTGTTACAGATCAAATGGATGCATCCCAGAGGGAGCCACGTCAGGATTCTGATTGCTTATGGCACTTGAGCACCTCACTTGCTCCCCTGCGTCCCTTGATATCCTGCCTTGGATCACTGGTGAGATGGTCTGTTTGTCTGTCTAAACCTCTTGAAGGTAGAGGTGGCAGGCACCAGGAAAGAGCTACCTCTTGGACAGAAGTGGGATGCTGTGGTGGAAGGAAGTCTTCAGATGTTTGATAGGGCAGTTGCTGCCTACTCCCTGCTAAGTAGGAAGTCAGAAACCTTTGCTTTGCTTCAAAGTGGGTGACCTGGGTCTTGGAGTCAGTTGGAAATCAGGAGAGAGGGAATCTGTCCAGCAAGCCTGTTTTGTAGAAGGGCAGAGTCGTGTCTCTTGTAAGCAGGTGTTATATACAAAGTGCCAACTGTGAACCTAAAAACATGCAGCTAGAACTGGACCTTCGCAGCTACATCTGAGCTCAAGCTGTCTGCCTCTCACTCAGTGTGAGCCCAAAAGCTTGTCAGTCTTCTCTCCTAACAAAAGATAGTGCCCAAAAATGAAGAAACTCTTTTGCCATGTTTAAAGTTGCAGCAGCTCTGACCTTGACTACGTGACTGTTTGCCCGTTTAATTGCCTGTTAGAACCCATGTCATGTGCCCCACACACCTTTGGTACACAACTCTGTGTGAAGTGCTTACACCAAGGGTCAGGCCTGAGAAACATGCTGCCAGCTAACTCTGTTCAGAAGCATGTGGCATGCCCACACCTCACTTACTTCCTTTGCTCCGACCTACGGATGTCCTTTTGACAATAGATTGCAAGATTAGTCACAGGGCTTAGTCTGACAGGAGATGTGTGTAAAGCCATGCGACTCCCCAGGATAAAACTTCAGCAGCTTCCAGGTGTATCTTATTTGCATGTTACACTACAGGCAGCATGGAATTCAGATGGTGCTGAATGCTTTTAAGCAGAGCTGTAGGAGTTGTGACATGTATTGCTTGACAGCTTAAGCTCAGCTCTGCCTTGAGAAACAAGTGCACTTCTTTATCCAATACTGCTCTCTCCTCTGTGTATTTAAACTTACTTGCTGAATTTGGCAACATAATTCTCTACTCTACTTGCAAGGCTGACATAACACCCCCTCCTGCAGTTGTATTCCGTTCATTCATCAGCAAAATTGTAACCTAATCCTGCTGCGGCTAACACCTGTGAGAGCTCACTCAGAGCAATATGGGCAAAAGTTGATCTGCAGAATGCATAGCTAATGATTACTGTACCTCTGTGGGAAGGAGCTGGCATTTAAAGTGTGGTTTAACCTTTTTAAAGCTCTAATTGCCTTTGGACATATCTATTTAAGATGTTCTGTCCTTGTCGTACTGCCACTGCTGGGATTAGCAGAGGCCCTTAAACTTGATCCCCTTCATTATAGGGAGAGGCGATTCCTGGCAGAGCTGTCAAAAGGTAAAAGGTCTCTGCTGGGCTGAACTTCTGGACACTTGCGCAGCCCTTTAGAAGTGTAATGAGGTGCAGGGCTCTGTGGCTGGAACCCAGCTGCAGAGGGTTAAGGGGATAATAGCCTCCCTGATTTAAGAATTGGCCCAGCTGACAAAAGGTTCGGCTCAGAGGAAGTTTAAAAGGGGGGACTGCATTGCTCCTCCAGGTTTGAAGGAAGTTTGAGTTGCAGTTTGTTTTTGGTGGTTCATTTTTTTTGTACCTGTGCTTGTTGGGCTGCTGTGTGGAGGAGACCTACTTGTTTGCTGGAATGGAAAGACTTGTGGTGTTTCTCTGGTAATCTGGATGTATAATCAAGGGAATGGTTTTTATAAAGAAAGTGGCTCCTGAGTCTGCCTAAGGGAGTGTCAACCCACAACACAAAGTAACTGCTCAATCTTGCAAGCAGTTGGGGATAGGATTGCTTCCAAGTGACAATGTGATTAGGTGTCACTAACACAACTTAAGGCTGCAGGAGCGAGTAAGACTTCTGGCTGAGGGCAAGCAAAACTCGGGGGCATCTGAACCCCAAGCCTCTGGGCTTGGGCCTGCAAGTAGGATGTCCACCAAAGGCTTTGGAAACATCTGAAGCCCCAGATGGGGATGGAGGATGTTTGCCAGTAGTAGGGCTCTTATGGTTCTGGACTGACTCACAGATTTGGAATTTGTTTTGGTTAATTGAGCTTGGAATATGGAAAACTTTAAAAAAACAAAACAAACACAAAACCTTACACTGGATTTAAAGCGGGAGGGGGTCAGCAGCACACCTTGCTGTAGCTCATGCATTATTTATTGCCCAGAGCTTGGATAGCTGCTTCTGGTGCATAGCTTGTAGACCAAACTATAAATCTGTATGCAAGAAGGGATGAGCTTTACTTAACTGCAGATTGCTGGTGAAATTTGCATGGCTGACAGCTAAACAAGTAAAAATCTTTTGTAAACAGTTTTTTCCAGAAAGTTAGACATGCATGTGCCTCAAAACTGCACATCAGTGAGGAACACAGCCTGCAGAGAAATCTCAGTATGGGTTCTGGGGTTTCTTAGCCTTGCTTTCTGGAAGTGCCCTTCTCTTCTCCCCTGCCCCCAGCCTCCCCCAGATATTAGTTTGTACCTGTAGTTGATAGTACTTAATTGAATCAGTAAACTCTCTAAACTTACATGCTTGTGGAACTGGTGGGGGAGGGTGATAGAAGGACCTGATGGTAGGGTTTTTTTGGATTATTTTTGTACCCAGCCAAAAATAAAGCATAGTACATACAGGTAGTATGTAAGCCTGTTGCACGCAGCTTTGAAAGAGTGGTGGGAGAGAAGGGGCAGAAAACACTGAATAGTTCAGTAATTTAATCTTGGGGAATTAATAACCTGTTGGTATAGAAATTATTCCATGTCCTGATGCAAGATCGTGGTATCAGGTGATGGAAAATTTTAATAGCTCGTCTTAGTCATTTTCATACAAGGCTTTTGTGAATTTAGAATGTCAGGGCCTGCCATGTCTCCCTGGAGAATAATTAAGGTCTCTCTCTCAAGTGGGGGGAAAAGGGCATGCCTGACATTGTATGTGGTTTTTTTTTTTTTTTTTTTCTTTCAAGTTGCAGGTGTTATTACTGCTGACTTTCTATCAGGCTTGGTGCACTGGGGAGCAGATACCTGGGGATCTGTGGAGCTGCCTATAGTTGGAAAGGTTTGAGACTATATTTTTTCCTTTAAATTAGAAACTTTAAAATTCATTTAAAAAAACTTCCAGGTTTTGATTTGCTTAATGTTTAGATCAGGCTAGCATCCCAAATACCCATCTTTTGTAAAACACTTGGAGTTCTAGGGCGGACAAATGCAAAATACATGTTTTATAATGGCAGTCTGATTTGTCATAATGCTAAAGTTTGGCAACGGTGAAGGGATAAGTGGACAAAACATTTGGAATGCTGCTACTGAGAGCTTGCCCCTAATTCTTGAGTAGACAGTATCATAGAAAATTAGGGTTGGAAGGAACGGTCATCTAGTCCAACCCCCCTGCTCAAAGCAGGACTATCCCCAACTAGATCATTCTAGCCAGGGCTTTGGGCCAGGCTGTAAAAACCTCCCAAGGGTTGGGGATTCCACCACCTCTCTAGGTAGCCTGTTCCAGTACTTCATCACCCTCTTAGTGAGGTTTGCTAATACCCAACCTAAATGTCCCTTGCTGCAACTGGAGACCATTGCTCCTTATGTCACTTGCCACCACTGAAAACAGTCCAGCTCCATCTTCTTTGAAACTCCCCTTCAGGTAGTTTTAAAGGCTGCTATCAAATCCCCTTTCAGTCTTCTCTTCTGCAGACTAAATAAACCTGGTTCCCTCAGCCTCGCCTCATTAGTCATGTGCCCCAACCCCCGAACCATTTTCATTGTCCTCCAGTGGACTCTCTCTCCAACTTGTCCACATCCTTTTTGTAGTGGGGGGCCCAAAACTAGACGCAGTACTCCAGATGTGGCTTCACCAGTGCTGAATAGAGGGGAATGATCACTTTCCCTTGATCTGCTGGCAGCATTCCTACCAGTGCAGCCCAGTATGCTGTTAGCCTTCTTGGCAACAAGGTCACACTGACTTATATTCGGCTTGTCCACTGTAACCCCCAGGCCCTTTCTGCAGAGCTTCTGCTTAGCCAGCTGGTCCCCTGCTTGTAGCGGTGCATGGGAGTCTTTCATTCTAAGTGCAGAACTTTGCATATGTCCTTGTTGAACCTCATGAGATTTCTTTTGGCCCAGTCCTCCAGTCTGTCTAGGTCACTTTGAATCCTAGCCCAATCCTCCAGCATATCCTATTGCTTTCTGTATGTACGTATGTAAGTTAGGTAGTATGTAATGTCCTCTAATATAGATACTATTTTGCTTCATTCTTTTTTGTGGGTGATGACATTTGCTTTGTTCTTTTAGGCTTTCATCAGACCCTTTAGAGAACATCACATTGACCCCACAGCAATTACCAGGCATGATTTCATAGAGACTAATGGAGACAACTGCATGATGACACTAGTCCCCTTGGCGAACATGGCCTACAAATTTGTTTCTCTTCCCCCAGGTAGAGACTTGCACCAGCAAAAAAAGACTTAACTAGTTTAGAATTTTTACTAGCTGATAAAGTTTGTCCTTGAGAGAAGCATTTAACATGCAATAAAGCTGATAAAAAGTAAAAACTTAAAAAAAAAAAAGAACTTTTAAGAGAAGGGAAAGTCTTCATGGTCTGAAGTAGGCAAATACCTTTTTTCCCCTTGCCCAGAGGACTCTGTTGGATCATTCCAGTAAAGCTTAGTAAAGAAACTCCAGAATGCCAGCTTTGCTGTAGAATTTGCATAAGTAAGTTGCCTGCATCTCACGGTTTGCCAAAAGAATAGAGATGGTTATTTGACCCGTCAAAATATGGTTAATTGACTAGTCACATGTCGGTCAAAAATTGTACAAAGAATTGTCAACAGGTCCAAATAATACACAGCGTAATTTTTTTCCATTAAGAAATGTGTAAAAATAATAATATTTCTGTCAAGAAAACTACAGAAAAAGTAGGGTGTCTCTTTTTTTACCAAAAAAAAAAAAAAATTGTTATAATCTGTGACCAGTCAAAAAAAAATAAGCAGCCATTTGACTAGTCAGCTGACAATATTTGACTGGTCAGCTGGCTGGTTTGCCAACCCTACAAAAGAATGTTTAAATCTAGGGCAATTAATGAACACCTTTTTTAATATAGTTTAGAATCGATTAATTTTACTCATACAGAGATGTTTAAATTGCAAAGACTATGAATACCGCCTCAAATTCTTGTTGTGCAATAGCTAGTAAATAAAGAGCTTGAGTTACTGTTCTGCGTTGAGTTCAATTTTGGATGATTGTGGCGCACACCAGCTTTTTTCCTTGCCCTGTCACCTTGAAAAATTTGAGAATGCCTTACAGAATGAATTGTTCATGGCTCAGTAACTCTAGTGTCTGTATCTTACTGCTGAAGCAACGTGGCCATGGATTTTGTTAATAGCCGAGGTGTCAGCCAGTGCTAGGATGTCAGAATTGATAGGCATAAGGACATTACTCGTCCCTATTGGGATTTGTGGGGGACGGGGCAGGGGGTCTAAATTCCCAATTCAATTAAAGCATATTTCAATTCTGTTTTGCAGAAGCACTGTACCAGTCCTGCCCTTGGGAGTGTTATATCTTTGCCCTGGTCATCTTTATAACCTTAACTAACCAGATTCACAAATGGTCTCACACCTACTTTGGTCTGCCTTGCTGGGTCATCTTTCTGCAAGACTGGCATATCATACTGCCACGGAAACACCACCGAATCCACCATGTGTCTCCCCATGAGACTTATTTCTGTATTACCACTGGTAAGTTGAACTTTGTTTCTTTGAGCAAGCTTCTTGCAATAAACCATAAAAGTGACAGTTTTTATAAGTGGTTCCTACATGTAGAGCAATACATATAGGAACCACCTATAAACTGCCACTCTCTTATGGTTCATTGCAAGAAGCTTGCTCAAATTTAGAGGCATCTAGGTATTTAGATATCTAGATCAGCCTCTTTAGCTTGCACAGATATTTTGGGCATGGCTTTACTGTTTGAGCCTTCGCCTTTTTCAGTTGCATTGAAACTGGATGCTGCCTAACATCCAGCGCACACCGCTTATAAGGAAAGCACTAAATGAGGAGCAAGTATGAAGAAGAATAAATATCGCTCTCATCTTTCAGCACATGCTCTTATTCCACAGAGAGTATCACGCTTCATTCACTAAATGCAGTGTGGCATACGGAGGCTTTGGGATGCCCAATCACTTCATAGCCAGTTCCTGCATTAGACTAGTCTGTTCTTCGTGAAGGCTTGGGAGAGATGGGAGCTGTGAACTTTGGAATTCTTAAATCCAAGGTGGTAATGGCACACGTGACCTGCTTTTTAGCTTTGTGGGTCTTTAATAGCCTTCTGTAGTGACTGTTAGTCAGTATTTGACTACTTGAAGGTTCAGTGATGTTTGTTTCACAGTTAAAGTGAATAACATCCACCGGGGGGGGGGAGGCGCAAAAAAATTGCAATACTTAGTTAAACTGTATCAGTAGACACTAATTTTTCTTTTTCCTTTTGCAATCATTAGGCTGGCTGAACTATCCGTTGGAAAAGATTGGCTTTTGGAGGTGCTTGGAGAACATTATCCAAGGAGTCACTGGAGAAAAGCCTAGAGCAGATGACATGCACTGGGCTCAGAAAATGAAATGACACTCTCGCCAGCCTTCTGCAGTCCTCATCTTTGTTGCCAACTTTTTTAGAAAAAAAAGCCATCAGCCAAATTCAAGACTTGCAAAGAAATAACAGACTCTAAAGCACAAACTAAAAAGTGCTAACAAAGACTGCAATTAAAAAAAAAAAAAAAAAGACACACAAACTCATCCTTAAAAGAATACTTGAAAAGCAAATGATTATTTGTACTGAGCACCTTTTTTTTTATTTTAGCCATGTCTGCTGATTATCTTAGAAAATATTTCGTCATTGAGTCTCATAAAAGCCGTCAGGCAAGCCAGAGAGGAAGACGATGCACTGCCACTTGCATTTTAATATCGGTGGCACAATAAACGTGTTGTATCAACATTGTTTAACATGTCAGAAGTAGCTTGTTGCCTAAGACCTATCCGGGGAATAGTTAAGGTACCTTGTCGCTGTGTTCTAGGTGGTTCCATCCAATATACTGCATGAAAACAGTGTGTTGGAGTAATGGAAGTCCATAAAAAAACAAACAAAACTGTTTTGATGCATTTAGTGGTTGGTAAATCTAGCATTTCCATCTTCGCAATCACGTTCAATTGTATTGATGTGGTGTGGAACAGACTTTGAGAAGCTCGTTTTGCCAGTGGGCAAAGGATCCTTAAGTGTTTTCAGTGTCCTTTAAAAATAAAATTGTTCTAACTTTTTATGTGGAATTGAGCAAACCATTCTATATAAGCCTTCAACTTTACCTTAATAGATCTCTGAGAGGGAGGGCGTGCTATTTGTATAAACACACAAGCTTGCATTAGTTCATTTGACAGCCCTTCCACCAAGTGTTTCCTGCCCAGTAATCGATGGTTAAAATATATCTAGCAATGGGTACATCTGCAAGTAGCTGTATTCAGGAGCTAAAGATATCAAATTTATCTCTAGAAGGGAAATGTTAATGGGTGGGGGGCGTGGGTTTCTTGTTTTCTTCTTTCTTTCTTTTTTTTTTTTCCCTAGGTGCTTGCTTGTTTGTGTAAATAATATAAAGCCTTAATCTCTTTTGGTGTAATCTGGAATAATATTTTAACGTGATGTTCTGAATGTGTATATATATATTTATAACAAAGGAATTGGATAATACTAATCATGTTTGTTAAATCTTGTTGCCATTCTTTATTCATAGTATCCTCAACATATTTAGCATGAAGAATGTTAGCTTCTGAAAGGTTAGTGATTTGACCACCTATCCAGTAATCTGAAATGGCAAAGTCTCTTGCACTTCATTATTTTTGTTTAGTGTATATAGTCATGAAATACATGAACATAAGAGTAGGATGTCTTGCAAAAGGACCATTCATTTCTACTGCTATCTAGAAATGCCTTCAGTATTGATCTTGTAATGGGCTTCCTGAGAGTGAATCCCTATGCCCCTGCTGAAATCACAAGTGAAACATACCCTTACTCATGGAACAACAATTTACTGACACCAAGCAGCTGCATCGCTCAGTCAGCCTGTATTTAACTACACTCTGGTATACTTTCAAGTGCATTGGAAGGAAAAAACCACCTGCCTCTAAATGAGAAGGTATCTCTTCTTAGGTCAAGCATAAAGGTCACATTTGTGTCTTTGAGCTAAGGATTCTAGTCACCACTGAGTCTCTTTTGAGAGGTTAATTTAAAACACAGGCAAAAAAAAAAAAAAAAGTTTGATGCATTGGTTTGTTTTTTTTTCTCCAAAATGTTCTTGTGTTGACAGGTTCCACTAGCACTGTTCCTTTACATAAGGAAGTTGAGGGCCTGTATTCTAACCCGCATGAAAATGTCTGCTTCTCTAAAATGATTTGCCTCCTTCAAATGGTATTTAGCCACTATAACAGTATCTGCCTTCCCTACAAGTCTGGCATAGATGGGCAGAGATGAGGACAGGATGGCTTATTGGAGCATAGTTTTGTCACACAGCACTTCGGAGATGCTGAGCAGTTCTGTAGTCACTAGTACACCAAACAACACTGCTTATAACTTGGGCTGTCTTAAGACTCACCACCAGAGCTGAGGGCCTCTAGTTCTGTCGAGAACCATGATGGTTTAAAGAGACAAAGCTACGGAACTGTTTTCACTTAAGAAACTGAGAACAAGGTCTTGCTCTTTTTTGTCTCTAGTTTGCTGTGCATTTGAAGCTTGACTTTGTGTAAATGCTACTCATTTAAAGTCCTATTAGGAAATTATACAAGCCAATGGCCTTCTTAGGTGCCCCTCGATTACTGTAGTAAAGATGTCTTAATGAAACAAAGTCTGTCTTGAAATGCTGATATTGCAGACTTTGGATATAAATTGCACAAGACAGGTGTGACTTCTCTACAGCAGCTTACACATTTGTGGTGGTGTTGTTCAGACTGTTGGCTTCAACTTTTATTGATGCATTTCATTCTGAGAACTGGTGGCACTGCCTTTCAGGAAATCTGTGTTCAGTTTGAAAATTACTGAAACTCGAATGACTTCTGGAACAGAAGCTGTTGCGTTATAGGTAAAACATACCCCTGCTTCCCCCCCTTAGCCTTGCTGGCTAGAATTTAGGAGGCTTTTGCTGCCTGCTTAGTACTTTACCTCCATGCCCTCATCATGCTTAAGGTGCTATCTTTCCTGGAGAGGTCAGCACTTGATGCCTCTGTATCTTCTCCCTCTACCTGCTGCTCAAGCTGGCAGGGCATTTCTAAAAACTCCCATCCTGCAAGGCAAGCATGTTTATTTTGGATGTGGATACAGGGCGAGAGAAATCAATAGCGAGAGGAATGCTTGTTCCCTTAACTGCAAAGAGTCAACACTGGCAGAAAAGGGATCTTGGAGTCATTGTTGACTCCAAGATGAACATGATTCGCCAATGCAAGGAAGCGATCAGTAAGGCTAGTTGCACCTAGTCGTGCATCTACAGATGCATCTCGAGCAGGTCCAGGGAGGTGATCCTCCCCCTCTATGCAACGCTAGACAGGCTGCAGTTGGAGTACTGTGTCCAGTTCTGGGTGCTGCACTTCAAGAGGGATGTGGTTAGCATGGAGAGGGTCCAGAGGAGGGCCACACGCATGGTCAAGGGGCAGTGGGGCAGGCCCTACAAAGAGAGGCTAAAGGGCCTGAATCTATTGGGCCTCCACAAGAGAAGGCTGAGGGGGGGATCTGGTGGCTGTTTGCAAACTCACCAAGGGGACCAGCAGGAACTGGGTGAGGCTCTGTTCTCCCCAGGCACCACGTGGAGTTACTAGGAATAATGGCCATAAATGGTTAGAGAAAAGGTTCAGGCTGGACAGGAGAAGACATTACTTTATAGCTGGGGCTGCCAGGCTCTGGAATGGGCTCCCAAGGGAGGTGGTGCTCTCTCTTACCTTGGGGGTCTTCAAGAGGAGGCTGGACAGATATTTGGCTGGGGTGATACGACCCTGGCACCCATTCCTGCCTGGGGCAGGGGGTTGGACCTGATGATCTATTTAGGTCCCTTCTGACCCTAAGCACTATGATACTATGAAGCCCAGAATGATGCTTCATAGAATAAAGCTGCTCCAGCTAGATGCTCTGCAGAACTAACTTGTCAATTTTTCTTCTCTGATACTAGCTGTGGCCTCAATAAGGATACTGATATGTTGGAAAAAATCCAGTGGCGTAGCAAAAATGATCAGGGGCCTGGGTGATGAGACTTATGAGGAAAGGCTGAAAGAACTAGGGTTATTTAGTCTGGAGAAAAGAAGAATGGAGGACATTTGATAATAGTCTTCAAATATTTCAAGGGTGATTACGGAGGCTGGAGAGAGGCTTTTTTCTGGCTGTAGCAGACAAGGCCAGGAACAATGAACACAATATGCATCAGGGGAAATTTAAGAGGAACTTCAGGAGGAGATTTGGACAAACTTTCTGACTATGAGGGTGGTCAGGCAGGGGAGCAAGCTACTACCCGTTGCCCAGGGATAGAGTGGAATCTGTATCCCCCAGACGTTTTCCACAGCAGGTTGGGCAGATGCTTGGCTTGGCTGAGTTGGTTTAGTCAGGGATGTTCCTGTCTTGAGCAGGGGGCTGGACTGGGCTGCATGAGGTCCCTTTCAGCCCTGCTTGCCTGTGATCCTAAAACATATGAAACTTCAAATCATCCTCTTCATTTTATTGATGTCAGTATGTTAAATCCAGCACTATCTGTCTAGAATATCAAGTGTGGTTTGAGCAAGGTCAGAGCTGGGTGGATGCAGTAATTAACCAAGACAGTACCTTATGACATTATAATAAAATGGTGTGGGTGCATTTGGATTTGCTATAGCTAGATTACAGCACTTAGAGCAAACCAGTGTGATGAAATACAGCCTTGGAGACAGAGCATTGACTGAAGCTGCAAGATTCCAGTAATGCTTCTTTAGCTTTAGGGCAGAAATACTTTGTGGTTATGACAGATGAAAGTCTTGCGGCCAGTCAGATTGTCAGTCATTGTTTTTTGTTTGTTTTCCCTTCTTCACTGATGCACTTGAATGTTTGGTCAGTTAAAGATTAATTCTTCCATGAAACCTTGAAACCTAATGCCTATGGGTCATCCAATTTCTGGGCTACTACAGGACTGAAGCAGACCCTTTCTTGTTTCTCAACTGGGTTGGCTAATAGTTTAGGAGATCTAGTTGCTCATTCTAATGATTAAATGATGGTCAAACCCACTCAAGTTGTTCAGTCCAAGTGGGAAGAAAGCCTTTGACACCTATTTTCCTAGGCTCTGTGCTGGCCTTGGTTGCCTGCTTCAGAGTTAGATGGCCCAAAACTTGGTTGATGAAAGACACTGGACTGAGCATTATTGTTATGAACAAGTCTTGGTGTTATCACAATCAGTTTTGCATCAATGCACTGGTTTTGCTGCTTCCTAATTGGTAAGTCCTCTATTACTAGAAGGGGCTGAGGAAAATATTTGGAACTGGATCCATATGAAGTTTGGCTAAAGAGTGAGCAATTTTCCTCTCTCATGAGATCAGTTTATAAGTGGCAATGTGAGCCATCTTAGCTAGAAATCTACCTGGATATGACTTGCAGGTTGTGTTTAGGTTCAGTCATTATGAAGTAAACAAGCAAACAAACACACAAAAAACCTCCCCTTTTTGGATCTGACATGGATTTGGGATCCTGGGAGACTTGGTACCGGGCTGAGGCTCTGATACAAGGTTGAATATCTCAGGATTCATTCTGCATTTTGACCAGTCTTTTTTGCTATTTGAAATTCTCATTCAGAAGCAGTTTTTGCCTCTCTAACATCAAGTTTACTACTAGCATTTGAGACAGCAACAGCAGCAAAAGCCTAATGCTGATTTTATTGAACTGCTGAAATATAGGGGCATCTCCTCTGGGAATTATCAAAGCTCCGTTATGGCAGCTTTATCCTTGATAAAGATGTACCAACAGGCATATTTGAAGGACTGAAGTGCTCCAGTAATTTTAACTGGATTTTTTAAATAAAGCAATAGTAACTTGGCCTTCAGCTGGAAGAGAAATTTCAGCTTATCAAATGAGTTGGTGTTCATAGAGCCAATGCAGCATCCTGTACTGAAGGAAATGATCCAATTTGCTACATCAGGTTTGACAGGCCCAGGAATTAATTCTTTGTCTTTCCACCTAAGTTGCAGTACACTTGCAGAGCAGCAAGCATTCGATCAATAAGCAACGACTGGAGTGGCCTTAGAACACTTCCAAGCTGGATGGGTATAATCTTGACCCAAGTGTCCTATTGATGTGTTGTTTTTCCTCCTTTCTTTATTACACCTGCTACCATGCCTTGAAATGGAAGCTTTCTGGGGCAGGATCTGCTTATCTGTGTCTTTGTGCACCGTTGGGATTAAAATAATTTTAAATGTGGTCTGTTAGTATCTCTTGGAATAAAAATAGAGGCAAAAATTGATAGGGCGGTGAATTGAATTGTTCTATGTTGTATAAAGCAGGAAGTTCCAATGAATCCTGAGCTGAAAATATAACGGAAAGTGATTTTAGAAGTAAATATATAAAGAGTATTACAAAGTACAGGGTGCATGTCTATGAATATTTAACAAGCCTTACAAGAGCTAATGCTGTCCTTGTTCTGAACTTAGTCATTGGAGTTTGCCAATTATTTTTATTAATTGCATTTGAGTGTTATAGGATGCTAGAAAGCATCT